GTTCTTCCTGGGCCCAGAGCCCCAAAATGCACCGAATTGAACGGTTTGAACCTTGCTGAGTGTAGGAGGGATGGTTCCTTCGTGCATAGAACTGATGTGCGCGTGTCGGTAGAAGTTCACTGTGAGCCGAGAAGTTCTTGTCAAACTTCCAGCGGCTTGGACTTGAGAAGGCCAAAACATTCAGGTCCAGGTGCAAGGGTGTGCTGCTCCGTGCACGAGGATCGGACTCTGTCTACTCTCGGCCGCTGAAGTCGACGCATGTAGCTTCAGAAATATGTTTCAGAGAGCATCATCCGCATCAGCATCAGCATCATCATCATCATCAGCAACATCATCAGCATCATCATCCTCGCTGCAATGCCTCGAGCCAGGCAGCTTGAAAACGGCAAACCCAAAGCCAGAAAGGCTGCAGGGTTATGGGTATTATCGGGGTTTGGGTTTAGAGGCTTCAGGACTTCGTTGTGGGATTTGGAACCCTAAACCCTAAACCCTAAACCCTAAACCGTAGGAAGCCCGAACCAGCAAAGCCTGAACCCTTGACCAAGTCGGATGCTACAGGTCTGCGGGGGAGCTGGACCCTGGAGTTCTGCAGATTTGAGAGCGCTACATCGTCTGAGGGCCTTTAGGGCCGTTAGGGGTTACAGGTTCAGGGTCTGCAGTTTAGGAGATGAGGTTGACCAGAGGCATGGGGGCTTGGCGATGTGGGTAGTTTCGACAAGGACCCCTGTTTTAGACCCCCCTTAGTCGGATCCGCATTATATGCTGTCACCTTCTCGAAGCAGAACCAACTGAGATATCAACACTCATACTGTTGGATGGCTCGTCGTCATCAACGCGGTTTAGGGTTTGCAGGATTTATGGTTTGGGGTTTGCAGGGTTTGGGATTTAGTGGCTTCGATGGGTTTGGAGGGGTTCGGAGCTGGATTGCGGCCAGGGCAGCGCGAGTTGTGTCGGCAAGGTATGTGAAAAGCGCGCGAGGGGGCAGGGCATGCAATGGGCATCCAGCTGTTTCCAGCTTTGAGGTTTCAGGTTCATCTCGAGTTGCATGAGAACTTCTAAAGGCTAAACCCTAAACCCTAAAACCTAAAGCCTAAGCCCTGAGAGGCCAGGGTGGATCCGGTGGTGTTTGGGGTTCAGGAGGGGTGAGGCCAACGGCTTTGCAAACATGCCAAGGGATCTAACAAACTGGGGCTTATATAACTATCTACACCCTTCTGAGGGGTTCCCAATCATAATCATAGTCTAAGATGCCCCAGAAACTCTATTCTAACTATGGGAGGAAACTCCCTAAACCCTAAACCCTAAACCCTAAACTATGGGAGGCCCCTATATTACACGGGATACTTGGCACTTGATCCGATCCGGAGGTCGCTTTTGAACCCCAAATTTAGGGGTTTAGGGTTTATGGTTTAGGGCCGTTTAGGGTTTAGGGTTTTGGGTTTTGGGTTTAGGGTTTAGGGTTTAGGGTTAAACACTAAACCCTAAACCGGGCCAACAGGGCAAACTCCACCACGAGCCCTTGGCCGCACCCAAGACCAGGGACAGAGTCCCGAAGACGATTCTGAGCTCAAGAGCTTTTAGGGTTTAGGGGTTTAAGTACGGTTTATGCTTTTCTGAACTCAACAGTTTAGGGTTCAGGGGTTAATTAGGGTTTACACTTTTCTGGATTCAACATGTATGCTGCAATTTATGGCATTTTGAAGAAGCATCAACGTCTATTGCACACCTAACCAAACTGAGTAACGGCTTGTTCAGAAGACCCTCTGTAACCCCGTCCAAGCCCAAACGACCTGCACAAGATTGCTTCAACATACTGTACACTCCCACCACCCCCCGGCCGTCATGGCAAATTAGACACCAAAACATGCCAGTGCGAACCCCAAACCCCAGAAAATGCCCAGAATAGTGACTTTGGATGGGCATCACATGCCTGAAGTCCGGAGGAAGGGTGCCCCTGTCGTCACGCGTGGGCTCGAACAAGGCGCTCCAGGCAGAGGGGCACGCCGCCAGTTTTGATGCCCAATGCAACTTATCGCACGGAGCCGCAGGACAAGCACCGGTGAAAGTCAGGAGGATCGGCTCGTAAGCCGAGGCTTGCATAGGCTTTGAAGAACGGCCTCCGAAGCACCAAAGGTGCCAGGGCTCTTAGACCATCGCACCGAAGGATCCGAGCCACGATAGATACTTGACCGAAGACTTAGCCTCCGAAAGAAGCGCAGAACAAAACAGAACCCCAACCAGATAGGAAAGGTGCCTGCGCAGCAAGAGCCAGCTCACCTAGCAGACGCCATGGCTCAGAAAAAGCCGCCCTCGAACATCGAGGCCCGGATGCAGAAGTAAAGGTTGGGGTTTGGGTGCTCAATATTCGGAGCTTCGTCGTGTAGGTGGGCAGGGTTATCGGAAGGAGGGTTCTTTTCTCGATGCTTGCAGTGCTTGAGTAACCCTAAACCCTAAACCCTAAACCCTAAGCCCTAAACCCTAAACCCTAAGCCCTAAACCCTAAACCCTAAACCCTAAACCCTAAACCCTAAACCCTAAACCTGGCTGACTAGGGACTGGGCCTCAACATGAGGAAACTGAAGGTGCCGGCTTGGCTTTCGAGGGTTTCGGTGTTGGCCGTGGAGCTTTCACGGCCTGAGGACTCAAAGTCACAAAACGGTTTAGGGTTTAGGGTTTAGGGTTTAGGGTTTAGGGTTTAGGGTTTAGGGTTTAGGGTTTAGGGTTTAGGGTTTAGGGTTTAGGGTTTAGGGTTTAGGGTTTAGCAGTCCCAGTCTCTCGAAAGTAATATCGGGGCCTAAATAATTACGAAGAAATTGTTGGGGTCCTTATTACTATTAGTATTATGACTAGTATTATTGTTATTATTAGTGTTATAGTATAATATACCCCAAAACCCTGTTCTAATTTATGAAGGCCCCTATATTAATTAACAGGCCGTAGCAAAGCAAGCACCGACTTTGAGGCACTGCCCCTGCACCCCCAGGACCCTAAACCCTAAACCCTAAACCCTAAACCCTGAAGAAGCCGAGCCCGACATGAGAAATTGCGCGTCGCAGGAGTTCCTATGGTGTATGCACTCCATGCTGGTCTCCGCGGGAGGCCTGGCGATCTTCCCCACTTTCGGGAGGGGGGGGGGTGCTCTGAAGTCTTTGAGCCTTTGGGTTTAGGGTTTAGGGGTTTAGGGGTTTAGGGTTTAGGGTTTTTAGGGTTTTTGGGGTTTTTAGGGTTTAGGGTTTAGGGTTTCTGGCTCAAAAAGTCGTATGGTTTCACTTCTCCTATAGTCTAGCATACTAGGACATATTAAGATATGCTCCTTTTTCAAGCGCCTCAGCCCGGTTTGCGCAGAGTGTCTGGCCGCCCTACACCCCAAAGCCCTAACGTAGGGGGGGGTGGAGGGGCCTAGATAATTACCGAAACCATTTTGGCGGGGCTCCTTAGTATAACTATAGTATAATGGGCCCCAAAGCCCTATTCTAACTAGTAAGGCCCCTTACATTAATGCTGAACGTGGGGAGGGTGGAAGGTTAGGATTTTTTTTACCGAAGTCTACGCCTTCAGAGTGATTCGGTTTCACCGGAATCTGTTCACGGTTTAGGGTTTAGGGTTTAGGGTTTAGGCAGTAGTGCTTTGCGAAGGGTGCAAATCAGTGCAAATTTACATCGAGATGGGAGACTAAGTGTTCATGGTCCGAATGCAAAACTTGGGACCTATCCTAGATAAGCGGCCACGCTGGTTGCGATTTCGTTCTTGTTGACAGCTGCCCAAGTTTGCCGGGCTCCAGTTGGGGAGTTTGTTTGCCAACAAAAGGAGTCTTCTGTTTGGGATGAAGCATGAATGTGTATCTCTGTGACCCTGCCCTTGTCTAGCTTTTTTGGCGCTGAGCAGCGAGTCATGCATGGAACCGCAAACAGGAACCCTTGAACATCGGATTACGAGCACAGGAAGCACCATCCTGGGGAGCAGCAGGTGGTGCTTTTGATCTCTTCGCCACCCTAAACCCTAAACCCTGAACCCTGAACCCTGAACTCTAAACCCTGAACTCTAAACCCTAAACCCTAAACCCTGAACCCTGAACCCTGAACCCTGAACCCTGAACCCTAAGCCCTAAACCCTGAACCCTGAACCCTAAACCCTGAACTTGAAGACTTTGCACACGAGATCGCGGCTCTTTGCAGGCCCCGTGAAGTTGACCAGCTTGAAGGATCAGTGGCTGAAGTTCCATGGGCACAAGCATTCCGGCAGCAGCTTTTAGGGTTTAGGGGTTTAGGGTTTAGGGTTTAGGGGTTTAGGGTTTAGGGTTTAGGGTGGCAGGGGTTAGTCTTCAGGGTCCAGGTGCGCAAACATGATATACTCTGGCCCCAAAGTACCTATATAGGATTCATGCCCATCTAAGTTCAAGGGCGGCTAAAAAATGTCCCAGGGCGCACGCAGACACAGATGCAAGCAAGCTCTCTGCGCTCTCCATCCCATCTGCAGCGGTGCTTGTGCCGTAGAGCATACTACTACATGTCATGATGGTGTCATCGGAAGCCTTACACAGGTTCGGGGTTTTGGATTCTTTTTTTCCACACCACATACAGGCAGGTGCACCCGGATATAGTATAGGGGCCTTAATAATTAGAATAGGGTTCTGGGGCCCATTGAGAATAAGGAGCGCTCAAAATAGTATAGGTAATTATGGAGGCCCCTACAGTAAACCCTAAACCCTAGACCCTCAACAGGTGGACAAAGGCGTTCAAAAAACAACCCTAAACCCTAAACCCAGCCTCCATTGGTTTTTTCTATGACTAGGATCCTTCTGTGGCCGGTCTTGTAGGACAACATCATCTTCCCTGCCAGTGAAAGAAAGGGTTTAGGGTTTAGGGTTTAGGGTTTGACAGAAACCCGAAGCAAACCATGCCCTAAAATTTAGAAAGCCCTGAATCCTAAGCCGCCTAAGCCGCCTAGACCCCAAACACTGGGACAGAGCTGTGCAGCCTGACTGAGCTTCGGATCTCGAGGTGCAACATCGAGCGGTTCCTGGTCGTCGGGGAGGGGGGCATCGGTGCCACTTTAAAGAGGCGGGTTGGGAAAGGGGTAATGTAGATAACATAGAGGCTTTCTTTGAGATTCCGTCACAGACTCCGCTAAAGGTTCCATAAGCGACCGACATTTTCCCTGGGCTCCTGATCAGAAGTATACTGTAGTCAACACCCTATCCATTATGCAAAGCACTGTCTGACGCTCTCTTCGAAGCAGCAAACCCTAAACCCCAAACCCTAAACCCTAAACCGTAAATTTTAAGTCGAGCCATGTCCGTGAACAGCATCACTTCGAGTGACCGCCTGACTTGTTAGCAGTCATGGATTCTCGATCCGCGCAGAACAGCGCATTTCGGGCCTTTGGTTCAATCCCAACTTCGATTTCGGGTATTTGACCCTTCGATTTCGGGTATTTTACCCTAGGGCTTCAGTCGCAGAAGCTGTTGCGATTGCATTCCTGCCTCAGCCCTACACCTGACTTCCGAAATCTAGACCCTTCTCGCATGCCTCAAGTCTCGCCTCCCTGCTGCCCCAAACCCGAACAGTTGCAGTAGACACAAGCATCAAGTTCTGGCAACGCCTTGCATCGGAGAGGATTCCGCATGTGGTCAAGCTTGTGCAAGAATCGGGGGCGAGCTTCGTCAAGGCGGCCCAGCCGGCAGGCAAGGGGGGGGGGAAGTTCGCGGTTCGCGTAATGAAGCCCGTACCCCCAACAAACCGCCCCTTTAGGCCCTCACGGGTCCTTGAACTCTTGAATCCTGAACCCAAGCCCCTCACCCCTAAGTTCGGTCATGGACTACCGATTTCTGCATGGCGGCGATTGGGACCGTTCTGATGGCTGTAATCAGTGTCAGCTAGGCTTCTCAGTCTTGACACCGTGATGAGTCTGGTGCAATGCGGTCCTGACACGAAATTCGAGGCTAATGCCAGACAGAAGAAATTCAGATTCTCGAATCGTCTCTGCGCTGTAGCCAGCCCCATTACAGCCAAAACCCAGCTGCGCACTTCCACACTACAGGCCGCAGTACCGATGCCGCCTAGGTAAGAGTGATGGCAGTCGAAATGTTTCGCACAAAGGACAAACGGCTGAATTCCCTCTGCAAGGCCTTCAACTGGACCCTCAACCTTGGTTTGCGGTCAAGGGTTTAGGGAGGTTAGGCGCTTGGGTTTGGGTTGTGGTTGAAATTTAGGGCCCAGGGTGTGGGGTTTGGGGTTTAGGGTTCAGGGTTTCGGTTTTAGGGTTTAGGGTTTAGGGTTTAGGGTTTAGGGTTTAGGATGTAGGGTTTGGACCTCATAAGGCATCCGTTTGGGCTTC